CATTTGCATGTTTTGCGTTTCATAATGTAATTGTAAACGGACTTGACCGGCTCTAGACTCAGGCTTCGAAACATTAAGTATTTAATTGGCCAATCGTACATTAAGTATTTCTTCGGCTTCAGAGGGCAACATATTCACGAATGCCGCTCCAGATCCGGAGGCTTAATCGGCCCAGAGACATCGTGCACTGATGGGATTCCGAATTCGGAGACTGGCTCGGCCCAAAAGTGTCTTGCACTTGTGGGGCTCCGAATCAGGAGACTTTTTGGCCAATCGTGACCTCCACGAAGAGCGCTCCGAATGCGGAGGCTTAATCGACCCAAAAGTGTCATGCACTTATGGGGCTGCAAATCTGGAGACTTTTTGGCCAATCGTGACCTCCACGAAGGGCGCTCCGAATCCGGAGGCTTAATTGACCCAAAAGTGTCATGCATTTATGAGGCTCCGAATCCAAAGACTTTTTGGCCAATCGTGACCTCCACGAAGGGCACTCCGAATCCGGAGGCTTAATTGGCCCAAAAGTGTCTTGCACTTATGGGGCTCCGAATCCGGAGACTTTTTGGCCAATCGTGATATCCACGAAGAGTGCTCCGAATCCGGAGACTTTTTGGTCAATCGTGATATCCACGGAGGGCGCTCCGAATCCGGAGGCTTAATCAGCCTAAAAGTGTCTTGCACTTATGAGGCTCTGAATCCGGAGACTTTTTGGCCAATCGTGATATCCACGAAGGGTGCTCCAAATCCGGAGGCTTAATCGGCCCAAAGACATCATGCGCCGATGGGGCTCCGAATCTGGAGATTTTTTGGCCAATCGTGATATCCACAAAGGGCGCTCCGAATCCGGAGGTTTAATCGGTCCAAAAGTGTCTTGCACTTATGGGGCTCCGAATCCGGAGACTTTTTGGCCAATCGTGATATCCACGAAGGGCGCTCCGAATCCGGAGGCTTAATCGGCCCAAAAGTGTCTTGCACTTATTGGGCTCCGAATCCGAAGACTTTTTGGCCAATCGTGATATCCACGAAAGGTGCTCCGAATCCGGAGGCTTAATCTGCCTAAAGACGTCATGCGCCGATGGGGCTCCGAATCCGGAGACTTTTTGGCCAATCGTGATATTCACGAAGGGCGCTCCGAATCCGGAGGCTTTTATTTGAACTCCTTTGAACTGGATTTTGAAGTGAGTAAATAACGATCCTTTCATTAGAGGAAATGAATTGTACATGGCGAATCACAACAAGCATTACGTCCCACAGGTCGGGTCAATGATAAAATTTGCGTAAATGCATGGAGTTCTAAGGCCGTGGCAGACTCCTTCCTGACATGTCTTTGAGCCGATATGTCCCTACTCCTGCGATTGAATCAATCTGATAGGGGCCGTCCCAGTTAGGATCCAGTTTTCCATCCGCCGGTTTCTTGGCAGCTGGAAGTACCTTCTTCAGGACTAACTCTCCTGGTATGTAACGGCACAGTTGAACGCGTTGATTATATGAATTAGCAAGCTGCTGTTGATACCGCACCACGGATGCAAGGGCACGGTCTCTTCGTTCTTCAATCAGAACTAAATCCAAGGCAAGCATCATGTCGTTTCGGCCCAAATTGAAAACTTTAGTTTTCAGGGTTGGGTGGCCGATCTCCAGGGGTAAGATCGCCTGGGTTCCAAAGCATAGAGCAAACGGCGTTTCACCAGTAGATCGCCTCGGCGTAGTTCGATGAGTCCACAGTACACTTGGCAATTCTTCAACCCATTTGCCCTTAGCACTCTCTAGCCTCTTCTTAATGCCGTCCAAGATGGATTTATTAGAGGCTTCAGCTTGACCATTGCTTTGTGGGTAAGCCGGCGTAAAAAAGTAGGGCCGGATACCATATTTGCTGCACAACTCTCGGTAGAAGCCACAATCAAACTGGGTGCCGTTGTTCTTAGAATGCCGAATCGCGTTATGATATTTCTCCACACAAAGCGCTTGACATTAGAATCTCAAATGTGCATTAATGCCTCCGCTTCCACCCATTTTGTGAAGTAGTCTGTTGCGACAATCAAGTATCGCTTGTTGCCTGGGGCCCTCGGCAACGGTCCTATGATATCAAGCCCCCACTGGGCAAACGGCCAGGGACTGGTGATAGAGCTCAACTCTTCAGCGGGCAGATGGGTTAATGGGGAGAACTTTTGGCACTGTTCACACTTTTTAGCATAGCATTTGGCATCAGATCTCATTGTCGGCCAATAATACCCCTGTGTTATGGCTCTATGGGCCAAAGAGCGCTCACTGGAATGGGCGCCACAACTGCCTTCATGTATTTCAGCAAGAAGCTCTTTGACTTTGTCTGGGTGCACACATTCCAAATATGGACCAGAGAGGGATTTTTTATAAAGCCTTCCTTGTGGATCCAAGTAGTATCGCAAGGCTTTGTTTCGTAGCTTGTGCGCTTCTTTCTTGGCCGTTGGGAGCTGTTCGGAAGACAGGAATGCGGCAATGGGATCCATCCAACTCGGTCCAGATTCTACAACATTGACCTGGACTTCCTCCGAAGGGCCGATGCTCGGCTCCAGGATGAAACCTACTTCGATGGTCCGTTTAATTTTTGAGTTAATGGTGGAGGCTAGGCAGACGAGAGCATCTACACGTGTGTTCTGATCACGTGTTATCTGGTTCAATTCATGATGGTCAAATTTCGCCAGTAAGAAATTGGCCGTTTTTATGTAAGCCGCCATATGGTCGTTTCTTGCCGCGTATTCCCCCTTTAACTGATTGATCACCAACTTAGAATCGCAAAATACAAGCAAGCGCCGAGCACCCAGAAGATGTGCATTTCGCAAACCGGCTAGAAGGGCCTCATATTCGGCTTCGTTATTTGATGCTTCGAAGCCGAGCTTGATGGCCTGCTCAATTATTGTGCTGTCAGGAGCCATGACCACAACTCCGGCTCCGCTGCCCCGTTGGTTGGATGATCCATCACAGTACAACTGCCAAAGGTCCCCAACATAAATTCTCCAGTTCGGCTCCGATCAAATTTCTTCGGACTTGAAATCAGCAAGACCCCCAGTGAATTCGGCAACAAAGTCGACTAGCACCTGGCCCTTGATTGAGGTTCTTGGTAGAAACTGAATGTCGTACTGGCCGAGTTCAAGAGCCCACTTTGAAACGTGTCCTGATGCTTCTGCACTTCGTAGTACTAATCGGAGGGGATAATCTGTTAGCACCCCAATGCTATGTCCTTGGAAGTAATGCATCAATTTTCTTGCTGCCATGACTAGGGCTAAGATGAGTTTTTCCAGCGGGAGGTAGCGTGTTTCGGCGTCAACCATTGCCTTGCTCACATAATATACTAGCCACTGCTCCCCCAGCTCTTCCTTTATCAATACGGCGCTGACGGCCTTGTCAGAAATTGCCAGATACAAAATGAGCAGGTCACCAGCAACAGGTGTTGTCAATAGTGGTACTGAGCGTTGGTAAGTCTTGAGGCCGTTGAAAGCGGCTTCGCATTCGGCGGACCATTCAAAAGCCCTGCCCTGCCGTAGTGTATGGAAGAATTATCGGCAACGATCTGTAAACCGACTGATGAACCTATTGAGTGCAGCGGCCATCCCCATCAACTTTTGAACCTCTTTTACCGAACGAGGGGAGCTGAGTTCCAAGATTGTTGTGATTTGCCTCGGGTTGGCCTCAATACCCCGGTGGTTGACAATGTACCCCAAGAACTTGCCGGAGCCGATCCCAAACGCACATTTGGAAGCATTCAGCTTCATTCTGTATTTGCGTAAGATGCCGAATGTCTCTACTAGATCGGCTAGATGGGTTTGCTCTTCTCTAGACTTGACTACCATATCATCAATGTACACTTCCATAGTGCGGCCTAGTTGTTTTTTGAACATAGTTGTGACCAGTCTTTGGTAAGTTGCCCCTGCATTCTTCAGTCCAAAAGGCATAACCTTATAGCATTAGGTTCCTCTTGGGGTGAGGAATGCAGTTTTTTCTTGATCCTCAGGATCCATGGCGATTTGATGGTAGCCTCTGTAAGCATCGAGGAAGCTCATACATTGATGGCGTGCCGTCGCATCTACAAGTTGGTCGATTTTGGGTAGGGGGAAACAATCCTTGGGGCATGCTTTGTTCAAGTCAGTGAAATCAACGCACACTCGCCAAGTCCCATTTTTCTTCTTCACAACCACTGTATTAGAGAGCCATGTAGGGTAGGTCACTTCCTTGATTGCCCTGGCATCAAGTAGCTTATCAACCTCCTCAACAACGGCGGAAGTGTGCTCCGCAGCCGATCATCGGCTTTTCTGAATGATCAGCTTGCACTTGCATGCATGCATTATAATAGCATAGTAGCAAAGAAAAATTTGACTTGGTCAAAGATAAAATTTCGGATAGAGCACCATTCTTGGATTCTCCCAATTCCATGAAAGAAGCAAGGGATAATTACACCAATACCTCTCAATTATTAGTAAATATTATTTTATTTTTTATTTATAAATTAATACATATTAACTTTGTCTAATTATGAAAATTGTACAAATACACTCTTTTTGGATTTGATCTGGGATAAAAGTAATATATTTTTAAAGTTGAGAAAGTCAAAATGCACGAGTTTATAAATAAGAAAAAAAAAGTAATACTCACTAATAATTAAGGGGTCTTCATGTAATTAATCCAATAACAACTCCATATAGGTAAGTGGCATAACCGAAGCTAATAGAAAGAACAAAGAGATTACAACAGAAACCTGTTACTATGCTCCTCTCTGATTTGGTAGAATATCCTAAACCCCACTCTCATCAATTCATATATATAGAGAGAGTATATAAATGTTGATACACACATAACACAAGACAATCAAATCAAAAAAGTGCTACTTTCATAATATTCTCACCTACTTCAACAACATTGAAAGCAAAAGGTAAGAAAAAAAATATATAGTGAGGAAGAGAAAAGTAGAAGAAGGGGAAAAGGAAAAAGAAAACAACATTGATGGAAATGGAAACATGGGTTGGGATTAGCTAATGAACATTGAGGCTGCTGCACTTCTTGGTGGGGCCCAGAGAGATCGCAAATGCTGCATCGATGTGTGGCAGAGGCCATTAGGGCGGTCGGTGGCGAAGATCAAAGACACCATTCAAAAGATTAGGGTATGGTGGGGAATATTTGACACTGTTGAGGAAGCAGCAAGGGCCTACAATGAGGCGGTTTGCTTGCTTCGTGGATCCAACACTCGTACCAATTTTTGGCCTTGTTCGCCATCTTCTAATTCCTCTCATGCTCTCCCCTCAAAAATCACAAACCTTTTTGTCCATAGGCTCAAAGCTCGAAACAATGCTAGTTGTAGTGCTTCTTCAACTTTCGTTTCTTGTTCTTCGCACGCTAACCAAATATTACAAAATCAGGAAGACAAGTAATTTGATAATTTCTTCAACAATATGCCCAATATTAGTACTACTACTACTACTACTAATTTCATAAATAAAGAAAGTGAAATTAACAATTCTAATATCAACATCACTACTACTTGTACTTGATCAATGCAAGTATTGAATCAAACAAATTCACAGTACCGGGAGATAATAAATGTACCGGTACTGATCATCATCAACAAGCTAGTATTGATGAGCGCGAAATGGGAGAAGAATACATTGATGTTGGGATCGTGGATTTCCATTTCATGGATGATGTTAGATCTTCTTGTTGCTATTATTTGCCATTTGAGATCGCAAAAGAGATGGTGGACGAGCAGGAGAGTTATGGTGGGGAAGAGGAGGAGCCATTTGGGCTAACCGAAGCCATGAAGAGGATGAAGTATGAGCATAAATTCTTGTGAGGTCCGGGTGCGCTACTCGTTTCGTTTTTCCTCGTTTAACTTTGAGTTGGTCATGTTGGGGTGTCGGTTTGACTTGGAATCTTGTTAATCGTTTGGGTTTGTTGTGTTCGGGATTTTTTCACAAAACTTTGTTCTTATTTATTCCTGTGTTGAATTTCACTTGTTTCGGAGGGTAAGGGTTCGGTCCGGAGTGCCAGGGATTTGAGCTGAGGAAATTTTGGGCTAGAGGACCAGGATCACACGTGTGGGGCCTTGGGTCGCACGTGCGGGAGAGGGGCCTCACGTATGGAAGGTGAGGCCGCACGTGCGGGAATCTGAGAGATTCTGGCTTGCACACTGCATTATATGCAGGTGCAGGAGGAGGTGTGGATTAGGAGGGCCGCACGTGTGGGGATGAGGACCACACGTGCGAGAAGCATGCTCCGCACGTACAGGGGTAAATGCTACACTTACGGGACGGGCTGAGTCCGAAAACTCTGTTTTTCTTCCTTGCTTTTGGGCTGTGTATATCACTTTTAAAACATTTCCTTCTCACTCTAAAAATCATTTTGCTCCTCTTTCTCTCTAAAACGTCCACCAAATACCAAAAACCCTTGATTTCTTGCAATCCATTGGGCTTTGATCCATCCTCTTTCACAAGTTTTGGAGAACAAAGCAAGGACGTCACTTTGTACGGTGGAGATCGAATTTCTACACCTTCGGTTTTAGGGTTTCATCTCATCTCTTCATCAAAACTTGAGGTAGGGATTTCTCCTTGAGTCATATATATATATATATATATTTGCAAGATCTTGTTGATTTTCAAAATCCCCTTTAATAGCTTAAAATCTTTTCGTTGACTCAAGAAGATGAGTGATTTTTGAAAAGTAGGTTATCTCTTTTCTTTTAAATAATCACATGAAGGTTTTAAATTGCTATTGATAGAAGAAAGATGCCTTTGGTGTGATTTTATTCAAATGTTTTGGAGATGTGAGGTTGTGATAAGAAAACCTAGAAAATTTGGGGGTTTTTTAATGATGTTGGAAATTCATGAATGAAATGGCCACATTTCCCTTAGTTGCCAAAATAAATGAAAGTTTCTTTTTTTATATAAGAAAAGTCTTCTCTATGTTTACATAAATGTTGAGTTCCATGAAATGAGAATTGTGATTTTGGAAGTTGATGTTCAAAACATTGCATATAGTCTTGAATTGACTAAATTGTTGAGAATTGTACAAGATGAGAAAATGTTGCTATGTGTTGATAGATGTAATTGAACATGTGGTTATTTTGTGAAATAACATAGAAGTGAGGAAAATGGAAAATGTGGTTATTATGGTATTATTGTTGAGATACTTAAAAATGGAGAAATGTTATGAGGCATTCATGATTATTGCATTACATACTCATTTAATCGATTAGTATATATTTTGAATTGAGTTTGGAAACGTTTACATTGAGAAAATAATATTTTGAAATGAGAATTATTGAAATATTTTGGGGTAAATACGTTGGTAAGTCCGGATAGGGGGTGTAGATAGAATTGATTAAGTTGGCCTGAGTGTCCGAGGTGAAAGACCGAAAACACGTGTAGCTCGTTTTTTTCACGCCCCTTTTTGGAGGTTTGAAAGAAAGCCTTACAGTTTGCACTCCCGTGGTTCTGAATCTAATCTCACAAGTGCAATGTGAAACTGATAAACAGCAAAGAGTCCAAATCCGGCAAATCGTTTTGAAAAATTGATTTTAGGATCAAAAATGCCAAAATTGGACTGCTTTGCCAGATACAGAATCGCCACCTGAATATTTTATTTTCGGGAAAATTTAGGAAACCCATGACTCATGCCAAAGGCCACGTGTCCGTTATCACCAAAATTGCCTCGGCTCAGGAACTTTGGTACGAAAGGAGAAGGTCATGAATTGAGCACCCCCACTCGCCTAATCAAAGATTGGCCTCTACTAATCATGATATGATTTTTTATAAACATTATGTGCTCTTGTTCTGGTTATTAAGCTAGCATTACTATGTGATGCACACAAGCAAGTGTAGACTAGTTTGCTCAATTTGGAACAATTCAACTCATGTTTGTTTGTGAAAATGGTTTGAATTTGCCACCTCAAATGGGCTTAAAGTTTGGAGATTGGCCACCAAACATAGTGGGCTTAAAACATGATTTTCCACTCAACAAAGTGGGCTTAAAACTTAAATTCGTTGAATTGTTCCAATTCAAACAACAAGCCTTCATCTATAGGTATTCATTCAGTTTAGCATTTAAGCATATAGCCTCATGGAAAGCATGCTAATCATGGCAATATTCACATTCTTGCGAGTATGCTAAAGCATAAAAAACTCACCTAGTACTCCAAGCTAAGAAGATATGAGTTAGAAAAATACGCATGACTCCTAACTATACAAGATGCCTAATGCAACACATGTGATAATGCAATTAATAGGTTCGGCTACTAATATGGCATATAAATCGATTTGATAACATGCGGTTAAACACATATTCAAAGAATTATTTGAAATTGCAATGCAGTTTGAATGATGCGCTGAGCCTCGATGCATGCAATATGAATGAATGGATGCAAGCATAAGGCATGCTAATTGAAACACGTCCCTAATCTAACCATCAAAAGCAAGTAAATAAAAGGGAGAAAGACGTGGGGTTGGATGACATACATGCACACACGCACACTTATTACAACATTATGCCCTCACGAAGGAGGGTCCAAATGAATAAGAGGTAACTAACTAGCAACTAAGCTAAGCTAATCTAATTAAGCTAATTAGACTAGTTATTACAAACCAAATGAATAACAAGCTAAGCTAATTACTAATTATTTACAACACTTTTAACTAACTAGTAAACTAATTAATTAATTTACAACACAAATGCACACAAACTAAGCAATTAAGACATTTAACTACGCTGCCACTACTCTGCCTCGGGAAGTGGAAGACGCTCATGCTCAGTTTTGGCCCAAAAAGACCTCCGTTTTGCTCTCGAAAGCCTCTGTTTGCAGGGTTGAGCATTTCCAGAACTTTTCTGCTCCATCTTACCAAAATCAACTGAAGTTTACATCAGTGGCCTACCGGCCATGGATGGATGTTGCCGGCCCTCTGTTGGCCAAAACGGTGGTCTGCCAACCATTTATGGTGCACTGTCGGCCACCAATGGTGCATTGCCGGCCACTGATGCATTGGATCACCATGCTGTAACAAAGTATAAACAAAGCAAAAAGAGGGTTTTTCCAAGGATTATCTGCACAATTCACCTTTCATTTTCATAGACAAATCCAAGGAATTGCTTAAACCACAAACCACCAATCAAAGCAATTTCATTGCATGATAGCTTGTGCTTCAAGGTGTGCAAGCTCAATAAATGCAAAACAAGACATTCAAGAACCATCACCCTATCATGCATGATCAAGGGCAATGGAGACCTAGCAAAATGGCACATTTCATCCCTTTTGAGTATAAAATGTCCTATTTTCCTTGTGTTCAAATTAACGTCCGATTTGAACGCATGCAATGTAACATAAAGAAATGCTTATCTTGCCACTTTTACTTGCCAATTTTGTTTACACATTTTAGTTACCAAACCATTCTTTAATCAATTTGTCCATTAGTGAGTGTCCTCTAAGATGAAAGAAGTGTCAACCAAGGGATAATGTAAGGCATGAGAGAGATTATGCCGTTGATAATGAACCCTTAAAGAGGATTAAACCATTAAGCATGACCTCAATCTCAAGCTTAAAGGATCTCGAGCCTGAAACAACCCTCAAAAGCAAATGAAAGAGTGAAGTAAATAGAGAGGTTGCAGAGCTTATAATGCTGAAATGAAGTGAAAAGCAACACCAAAAGATGCTATCAACTCAAACAAGATGTGTCGAAGACCCTAAAACACCAACTTGTGAGGACTATTACACTACAACTATGCAAAACAAGACTCAAATGAAATAACCAGCCCAAAACAGAGCTAAAGTAGGCTATTTTAGAGGTTAAAACATGTTGGATTTGAGCTAGTTAAGCTAGAAAAATATGCTAACATATGAAGCTAACTAAGCATACAAACAAGACACAAGGAAGGGAAGCTAACCCCTCCAAATTTGGACTTCAAAATGAGTTTTTTGCCACTGAAAAACCTCTGAAATTTGATGGTTAAAGGGCCCAAAAAAATTGGTTTGAAAGTGGTGAACAAAGGTACAAAAGCTTTACAAACAAAAAAGTAAGAATGATGAACTACCTCCTAACTGAAAATGACCTCAAACCACCACCTTTAGGCTACAAAAACAGAGTTTTTTTACAATTCAAAATCAGCCCCAAAATAGCCCAAAAACAATAGAAGAAGATGGCAAAGCAAGTATGCAAAACAAGCCTAAAAGGTAAGTATTATACCTCTTGAAGGGAAGACACAAATGAAGCAATAAATCAAGCCAAGACAACCTTCTAGAGCTCAAAGAGGGTCCCAAGTAACCTCAGCCCAAAGATAAGCAACTTTGGTTAAGGGTTGATAGGCAAACTTGAAGTATATGTAGGCTAATTTGCACAAACCTGCAAGAGAGAGAGAGAAATGTAGAGAGAGAGACTCCCAAAATTTTTCTAACCTTGAAATATGAGAGGTAGGTCATCTATATATAGAAAAATGTGAGCTTTGGTCGAAAATATCATCAAATGGACAGCTGAAACTTTGTGCAAACAGCAGGAGGTAAATATCTGCAAAAAAAAAATATATATATATTTTTGACACCAGTGGTCGGCAAACGTCATCCATGGCCAGAAGAATTCACCCATGGCCGGCATGGGGCTGGAAAACTTCACCTATGGCCGGCAAGGGGCCAACAAACTTCATCCATGGTCGGCAACAAAAATCTAATTTTTAGGCCCGATTTTAAATAGGCATATCTCCTTCATCTGGACTCCTTTGCAGGTCATTATTGAGTCTAAATTAAAGCCCCGAAAGTCTACTTTCCAATGGTGGTAGCCTCACATCAAAATTCCAAGTGTGAAAAAAGATATT